ATACCCCAGTCTACCCCATCATACTCCATACCCGCATACCCCACTCCACCCAGCACACTCTATCCCACCTTACCCCACTCACCTCACCCCATCCTACCCCAGCACACTCCTTTTCACTTGTTTTTATATGATAGCTACTACTCGACTCTCAAATCCTACTGACAGTGGCGTATTCTTTTACTTATCACCCTGATACTACCACAATATTTCCCAGAGTAAATAATCAATTAATATTTGAAGAATAAAAAATCCAGAGAACAAAATATTGATTTTATTATGATTTGCTGCATTTCTGAATATATGAAATAAATATACGAAGCAAATATATGAGGCAAATAACTTTTATTTTGCAGAACAGAATAGAAGGAAATAAAGGAAACTGAGAATGTATCATCTTTTACTTTTCTCCATTTTTAAATTCTATTTTACTGCTGCTTTCTTTCACATTTCTAAGGAAATGCCTATTCTATTGCCATGTTTTCTTGTTGCAGATCACTAAATAACATGGAAAATTTCTCTATTTGTTTTATTAACAACACTCTTAAGCCTATTAAATAACAGTAAATATGAAACCAACAGCATTCATGAACTTAGAATCTGAAACTAATTAAACTTTTTTCAAAGAAACATGTGTAAACTTTCAAAATCAGCAAAAGACAATGCTATGGGTCACTTAAGTAGACCAGAAACCCAGATATGATAGGTTAGTGTCCCCTTAGATTCCACTAGTGGTTGGAGAAACTGTTGGAACTGACTCTGGGATGTGCACTGGGAACAGAGCTGCAAATCTGGATCTCATTCTCTCTTCCTCATCTATCACGGCATCTTCATACCAGGCTGGGAAGGCAGTGGGCACTGTGTTGTGCATCTTGGCCAAAAACTCAAGGACTTTCATTTTGCTGGTTTCAGCGTGTGCTCTTGGGCCCCACAGGAACTCATAGCATGGAGGATCACTGTTGAGCACCTGGCGATATTCCAGGTACCTTTCCTGCACCAAATCTTGAGTGATGAGCTTCTTGGGCTCACCATGGATGAAGTGGTTCTCTCCGGCATATATCCCCATCACATTAAGCACTTCCCAGATGTCTTCCTCAGGAGCAGAGTTGCCTTTTATGAAGATCACACACAGGATGGTCATCAGGAGGCCACTCCTGGGCATGATCTCACCATTCATTCTTGGATCACCGGTATGATCCAACTGGCGGACAAGGGCATAGTAGTGCTTGGCCGAATCAATTTCCTGCACATCAATACCAAAAGCTAGCACCATAAGCTCAGCGGCTTTCCTGAGAATCTCATCGAAGTGCATCTTGTACTTTTTAGTGACATACTTCAGCAAATCTTTCTTTGTTATCAGCTCTCTCTTGTTGTATTTACGCAACATAAATTGCACCAACAAAACTGCCTTCTGATCTAGACGGGTTGTGAATGAACTATCAGTAGTGGACAGCGCCTGGGAAGTGCTTGCTCTTTCCCCATCTTGGCTCTGGGCACCTCCATTGGATCTTTGTCGCGAACGACAGGCAGTAGTGGCGGCTGGGCCTCTCTGCCGCCGCTTGGATTTGCCGCAGGACCCAGAAGCAGCAAAGGAGCTCTGGGGATCGCTATCGCCTAGGGGAGGGGAGGAAGAGACGGTGTCTTCCTCCTCGGCAGCAGTGGCCTGAGCACCCTGGAGCCTCTGAATCTCGCTCCGGGCCTGGCGGCGTTTCTCCCGGGAACGGAGCTTACTTTTCTGACCCCGAGGCATGATGACTCTGCTCAAGGAGTCAGGGCAGCAGAGCAGGCACCTGCAAGGAGGGACAAGGAAGTGGTGTGTGTGCCTTCGCCAGAGAGCTAACACCTTAGTGTTACCCATCAGCCTGTCCCCTGAGAACCTGCAGCAATTTCCGGGAGAACAAGGCCTTCACCTCCCTGAAACTCCCAGAAGGAAAGAGGAAACTCCTCAGCTTCAGGACCCCGCCCAGAGCCTCCCCGCTTAGACCACAGGGGTAGGGGTCTGTGTGGTCCCTTTCTGTTGTAGGGTTCAGGGTCCCATTAGTACTTACTCAGGATCCTCTCCTTTATCCTTAGGATTTTTCTCTCTGTTGATCTTTGTCCGCTAATCCAAAATGCCCGCTTGTAGAATGTAGGGGCGGCAGCTTTAACAGTCAGCTGGCGCGCGGTGGCGCGAGACCAGCGTGGGAGAATTCTACAGCCTCCTGTGGGCGCGTGCGCAGGCTGAGCGCGCGCCGTTCTAACTACGGGTCCTCACATTGACTCAGTATCACCTCCCTCTTCCAAAGATCTAAGGCAGCCCTCCTCATACCAAGACTGTCATCTCCCTGAGACTCTTGGAGTAAGTCAAAGAGTGCGTCATGCTCACAGCTGTGCCCTGGGCTTCGCAGGGGTGCGAGTGAGAACGGGGCGCCCAGCTGGTCGTTGGTTGGGGAGGAGTTTTCCTGTCAATCCTCAAGGTTGGGTATGGGGTATGAGGAGTAAGGAGTCCTCCTTTGGTCTGCTTCTTGAATGGTTTCCTGGGAAAGAACTGTCCGAAAGATTCTAGCTGTTTCCCTACCGCAAATCTTGCAGAGAATGGGTTGAAGTTTCAGACTAGATAGAGATTGGGAAGCTGCCGCAGGAAGCAGGGCCCCAGGGTAGGTAGTGGCTTGTGAGAGAAAAATACATTGAATTATTGAGTCTGTCTGCCAGGCAAACAGACTTTTGGGAACCTGCTGATCCGAAAGCTGTGCTTTATAAGGGAAGAGGCTAAGATGCATGGTTTTGTAAGGCCTGCTTTTTGCTGTTAATCTAGCATTGGCTACTCCAGGACAATGACTTCATGTTTTAACCCTCTTTCATAGTTAGAAAGATATTTATATCACTAACAAGTATGTATGTGTATTTGTTACATTTTATGAAAGAATACTTACCCTTGTTATGTGTGATTCATTCAATTTCTTTTCTAAAAGATTATTTATTTATTTTAAAGACAGAATTACAGAAAGAGAGAGAGAGAGACAGAGAGAGAGAGAGAATTGATTCCATCCATTAGTTCAGTCACCAAATAACCACAATGGCCAGGCTGGGCCAGGCAGAAGGCAAGAGCCAGGAGCTCCAACTGGTGTCCCACATAGGTGGCAGGGGCCCAAGCACTTGGGTCATCTTCCACTGTTTTCCCAGGTGCATTAGCAGGGATCTAGATCAGAAGTGGAGCAGCCGGGACTCAAACCAGCATTCATACAGGATACTGGCATTGCAGGTGGTGGCTTAACTTGCTGTACCACCATGCTGGCCCCTTAATAGTTCTCTTTCATTCTCCTTTATGTAGTTTTCTCCAGGTTGATTTTAGGAAACACCAGCCTGCATCTGGTTGCCATCTTGCATGCTACATATAAGGCAATGCATTAGTCCACTCTGGCTGCCATAACAAGACACCACAGACAATGTGGCTTAGACAGAAATTCATTTTCTCACAGTTCCGGAGGTAGGATCAGGATCAATGTAAAAGCAGGGTTGGTTCCAGTAGAAACTCTTATCCTGACTTGCAGACAGCCACTTTCTTGCTGTGCCCTCACATGTCCTCTTCTCTGTGGAGTGAGAGCTCTGATTTCATTGCCTCTTCATATAAAGAAACCAGTCCGTTTGGATTACAGCTCCACTATTAGGACCTCATTTAACCCCAATTACTTCCCATAAGTATTTCACCAATAAAATCACATAGGGGGATAAGGCTTCAATATATGAATTCTAAGGGGGGCCAACTTAGTCCACAGTAGGCAGTGAATCTGTAAATAATTTAAGGAAAAGTGACATCTTTACAATATCCTTTGGGATACCCTTTTCCCAAGTTTTTTTATAGTCGCCTCCGAAAGACTGTGTACATATTTGTTGGGTTTCTTTTAGGTAAATTTTTGATATTTGCTGTTGTTGTGTTTGGGGTATTTTCCATTACTTGTCCTAATTAGTTATTGATTTTGTACAGCTGCACCCTGAGTTTGCTATAGTGATACATACAACAGCCTGCTGAAGTCTTACTCATCTGACTAGTCTATGCCTCGGTTCCCTTAGATTTTTAAACTAGAAGATCCTGTTGTCACCATTTATTATCTCTGTCTTTTCAAATATTCCTACCTCATATACTTTATTATGTATTTTCTTGCTATGGTTATGTATACCAGCCCATTACTAAACAGTAGGGATGGTCCCACACATCTGTGATCTGTGTCCTGGTCCTTCTTTATTAGGAATACATTACATTTTACAATTATATAATTTCACTGTACATTTAGGAAATGGAAATTTGCTTTTAGTGCTATTTTGCTAAAAGCTATTTTTCTCCATGAATGTGTGTTAAATGTTTTTCCAAAGGCATTTTCTGCACTCCTGGAAATGATCATATGCCTTCTGTCTTTTCATCTATCAACTTAGAGCAATTCTAATTAACAGTTTTTTCCAAATGTTATTATATATCATCTTTGCATTTCTCTGACAGACTACTTATTCACTGCTGCAGTGTGACCATGATATGATTTTATTTAGGATAGATGCCTCTATGTGAGAGAGCTTGACGCAAGTGATCTTTTCCAGGGAGTATCCTTATTTGGTCTTGTATTGAGATCAATGCACCTGTTAAAATGAGTTTAGTAATTTTCCCTAATTTGTATGTTTTGGTAGAATTTACCTAAGAAGGCAATTAGTTTTTCTCTGGCAATTTAAGGAAACTGGCCTTTGAAATTTGCTTCTCCTACAACATTCTGAGGCCATTCTGGAGCCTAAACTAGAGTCACCAAAACTAGACACCAAAGCACAAACTGCAGTAGAAAAAAAAATACATACACAGGACTTTGTAAAAGTTGATAAAGCAAACACTTTTACACAGAAAGGATGTTATGAAGAATGTAAAAAGATAATTCACAAAGCAGAAAGTAATGTTTTAAGTCCTTTGTCTTATAAGGGTATATAAAGAACCCTTTATACTCAATCAAGAAAAGACAACCCAATTAATAAATGGACAACATATTTGAATTGACAGTTCTTCAAGGAAGATTAGAAATAGTCAGCAAGCATATGCAAAGATATTCAACATCATTGATCATTAAGGACATGAAAATCAAAGCCACAATGAGCACTACTTCACACACACTAGAATGTGTTTGATTTTTTTTAAGGTAAATATTAAGTGTTGGAGAAGATGTGGAGAAATAGGAACCCTTGTATATTGCTGGTGGAAATTACAAAATTGTAGACATTATGGAAAACATTTTAGTGGCACCTCAAAGTATTAAAGATAGAATTACCTTATGACCCTGCTCCTACTAAACTCTGACTCCCCAGGGAGCACTCTTGTGATAAATGTGCATTTCATCTTTCAGTCAGCCCCAGACATTCACCTCAAGCTTCAGAAGCTCGAAGCTGGGTCTCAAATCCTTCAAAAGGAGCTCCTTGACCTGGCCTTTAAGATCTTTAACCATAGAGAGGAAGAACAGGGACAGAGAAAACACCAACTAAAAATAAATGGGTCCAAGCACGGTCCCAGGCCTTCCAACTTTTGGCCTTCAATCCTTTCCCACAACCAAGAGATATGCCCACAGGGTCCCTTCAAAGGTGACAAACTTTCCTCCTGGCAATTTCTTCAAGTGTGGGCAGCCTGGCATTGGAATAGCCCCTGTCCACAGCTGTGGCCTTCCTTTGGACTAAGAAAGACAAGAGAGTCTGTGGCCACGTTGGCCATAACAAGTGGGACTGTCCCACGATTCTTTGAAGATATTTTATTGGTAGTTTAAGGCTTACTAATAAAGGAATCACTTGACTCAGATGGTTTCTTTGGTGAACTGTTGAACATTAAAGGAAGAAAAATTACCAGTAATCCACAGCCTTTTCCAGAACATAGAAAAGAGGAGAATTCTCAATTCTTTCTTGAGGCTATCATCACCCTAATACCAAAGTCAAATAAATACATTACCAGGAAAAGTTACTACAGACCAATAACTCATGAATTAAAATATCCTTAACAAAATAATAGCAAATAGAATTCAGCAATATGTAAAGAGAATAATACATCATGTCAAAGAAGGGTTAATTCCAAGAATGCAAGACTGATTCAGTATTCAAAAATAAATAAGTGAACTTTTAAAAAAAAGCTTTATTTTAATTATTTGAAAGAGATAGAAGGAGAAACAGAGAGAAACAAATCTTATGCCTGCTGGTTCAGTCTCCAAATGGCTACTATGGCTAGGGCTTGGCCAGGCTGAAACCAGGAGTCTTGAACTCCATCCTGGTCTCCCACATGGGAAGGAGGGGTGCAAGCACTTAGGCCATCTTCTGTTGCCTTCCCAGGCACATTAGTAGGGAGCTGGATGTGAAGTGGAGCTGCTGGGACTTGAACCAGGGATCTGATATGGGATGCCAGTGTCACAGGCTTAACCTGCTCTGCCACAACACCAGCCCCATTGATGAAATTATTTACATTAACAGATTGAATGTAAGATAATTTACTACATCTATATATGTAGAACAATAATTTGAAATTCTAAATAACAATTTGTGATGAAACATTTTAGAGATTAAGAGTAGAAAGGAACTTCCTTAACCTGATAAAGAATGTATAAGGAAACCCACAGTAAAAATTCCATCTAATAATGAAGAAATGAATAGTTTTTTCCTAAGTCTGAAAATGAGACAAGGTTATCCTCTCATGATACCTATTTGGTATAATGAGTGTCTTATGTAGTACAACACAGCTATAAACAAATAAACAAATGGTGTAATATAGGTAAAAGATAAATAATAATTGTCCTTTTTTGCCAGAGAAAGAGACTGTATAGAAATCCCCCCAAAATCCACAAAAAAAAAAAAAATCCTTCCTTAAAAACTAATAAGCAGTGGCCGGCACCATGGCTCATTTGGTTAATCCTCCACCTGTGGGCGCCAGCATCCCATATGGGCGCTGGTTCCAGTCCCAGTTGCTCCTCTTCCAGTCTAGCTCTCTGCTGTGGCTCGGGAGAGCAGAGGAGGATGGCCCAAGTGCTTGGGCCCTGCACCCGCATGGGAGACCAGGAAGAGGCACCTGGCTCCTGGCTTCGGATTGGCACAGCGCTGGCCATGGGGGCCATTTGGGGAGTGAACCAATGGAAGGAAGACCTTTCTCTCTGTCTCTCTGTCTCACTGTCTATAACTCTACCTGTCCAAAAAAAAAAAAAAAAAACTAATAAGC